TTTTTTTTTTTTTTTTTTGCTACAACGAAAAGCAAACTGTTTTTTTCTTTTCTGAGCTAGTGTGTTGTATCTTGACATGTTCCCTTGCAATATCCCTATCGTTATATATTCCTCTGTGCCGTATGAATTGGCTGGGAATCTCCTCCTGCAACCCCTCCTCAAACAACCATGTGAATTTCCAAACCAACCAATGCGTGACGCTGGCTGCTGCTGCGCTGGTTTGAAAATCTGATTGGTGAATGATGAATTCCCTGTCTGCCTGGGCCAGCAGCGGAGTCGACAGAGCAGCAGAAGGGCCAAGAGTGTGGAGGACGACGACGAGGGGCATCTGATCTATCGCGTCGGCGACTGGCTACAAGAAAGATGTACAGCCAAATCGTAACATAATTTAGCTCTCTAGTTAAGCTCCCATCGCAGTCGCAGATCTGTCTTATCTTTCTGTTTCATTTTATTTTCATTGTTTATTAAAGAGAAACCCTCTCCTTTTCCTTCCCCTTTTGTTAAAGCTACGTTTATATTGTGTATTGTTACTGAAGTGGCAGGGAAATTAGGGCAGCTGCCTTGTGCAGCCGGTGTCAGCCTTCCGCTGCTCCGGTCTCTCCAGCTGTGTGCAGGTTAGGTGTTGCAATGCATTCTCCTCTGCCCTGTGTATCGCTGCAGCCAGGTCCTGCTCCCTCTCTCAGCTCCTTCCCTCTCCTTCTCTCCCTCCCAGATGAGATTATCAGCACCCTGGGGGAAGGGACCTTCGGCAGAGTGGTGCAGTGCATGGATCACCGGAGGTATGTGGGGAAAGGGGAGACCATGGCTGGGGGTGAACATCACTCTCTTGGTTTTCAATATCCTGTCCTGCTCCAGGCTCTCACCCTCTTTGTGTTGCCCATGTGCTGGGGGAAGCTTCAGGGCTGTTTTGCAGGGAGGGAAAGGGACACCTTTGGTGGGCACACCTGCTTGAGCAAGGGAGGCTGGTCTGAAGGTCCCTTTCACAGGGCACAGCCCCTCTTAACTGCTCAGGGCTCACCTGGTGCTTTCTTCCTGTTTCTCCTATAGGACTGTTTTGTAGGGAGAGAAAGGGAAACCTTTGGTGGACACCCCTTAATAATAACCTGCTTGGGCAAGGGAGGCTGGTCAGAAGATCCCTTTCAGAGGGCACAGCCTCTTTTACCTGCTCAGGGCTCACCTTGTGCTTTCTTCTTGTTTCTCCCACAGGGGTGGTGCACGTGTTGCTCTGAAAATCATTAAAAACGTGGAGAAATACAAAGAGGCTGCTCGACTGGAAATCAACGTGCTGGAGAAAATCAACGAGAAGGATCCTGAGAACACAAAGTGAGTGTGCTCTCGGTGTTCAGCAGGAAGGGCTGGGTTCAGGGCTGGGCTGGAACGGGTGCTGGGTGTTGTGTGGTTGAAGGTGATCCTGGATAGTTTTGGAAGCACCTTGGCTTGCTGTGAGGTACAGACTGAGCAGGGAAAGGAGGAGCCTGCAGAGCTGTTCCCAACTGGAATGTTTGTGTCAGTCTCTGTGTCAGGATGTTTGACTGGTTTGACTACCACGGCCACATGTGCATCTCCTTCGAGCTGCTGGGGCTCAGCACCTTTGATTTCCTGAAGGATAACAACTACCTGCCTTACCCCATCCACCAAGTACGGCACATGGCCTTCCAGGTGTGCCAGGCTGTGAAGTGTAAGTGTTCCTGCTGCTCTCCTGTGCTTTGGGCTCACCTGGGGAGCTGAGTAGGTTGCACTTCTGCAACTGGTGGCCCAGAGCAACAAGTTTTTGCTGTGGTTCTGAGCCTGAGCCTTCCCGCCCCTCTGGGAATGAATCCTCTTCATTTTCTGGTGCTTGTGGGCTGGCAGTAGCTCAGAGCACTCCAGCATCCACCCCCCTGCTCCTCTGGCAATCAATACAATAAATCTTTGTGCTTCTGGTGAAGCATCATGGCCTGGGCTTTGCCTGGCTGTTCATACCCAGGTTGAAATGTGGCTTAAACTGGTGCCAGTGATGGCTTTTGGGGGGGTGCAGCCTTGTTCTGCTTCTCTCCCCTCACCCAAACTCTCTTTTCTCCCTCAGTTCTGCATGACAATAAACTCACCCACACTGACCTCAAGCCAGAGAACATCCTCTTTGTGAACTCTGACTACGAGCTCTCCTACAACTTGGAAAAGGTAACACATGACACACTGCCTCAACTTGGCTCTCCTCTTGGTGTCCCTGAGGGCTCAGACACAGCCCCAGGGGATGGGGCTCCCTGCACTCCTTCAGGGCTTTGCATGACCTGCCAGGCAGTGCTGGGTGAGCCATGGCTGTGCTGGGAGCTGCTTTGGGGCTGCCAAAGCTTTCCCCTCCCGTGGTGCCCTCAGCTGGGAAAGGCAGGGTTTGGAGGGGCTGCCAGGTGATGGATCCCATTGTCCCCCCTGCAGAAACGGGATGAGAGGAGCGTGAAGAGCACGGCCATCAGGGTGGTGGACTTTGGCAGTGCCACCTTTGACCACGAGCATCACAGCACCATCGTGTCCACCAGGCACTACCGAGCCCCTGAAGTCATCCTGGGTAAGGTGCCCCTGGGTCTCTGCCCCTTGGACCCTGCTGGGATGGGGAGTGTTGGGCATCCACATCATTCAGGAACATTCTGGGTTTGCCCTGGGAGATGGGAAGTTGATTTAACAGCTCTGCAGTGCTGTTTCCTGGG